TCTGGAGTTCAATCTGGTTCCGAGGAGCTTGACCTCTTCTTCTCTTACAGTTCAATCAGTCTAAGGTTTAAGTAAGGTTTCGTCTCATTCATCTTTCTTACAGACAGACAGGAGAGGCAAAGAGGTCCATCAGGCCAATGCTGGGTTACTCTCATCTTCTTTATCTAGGCAAAGACTTAAACTTAGTGTAGTGCTTTGAGACCAATAAGGTAATCGAAACAGTGAGAGAAGGGGAAGGGGGTTTCTTCGTTTACAGACAGTTCCAGAAAGGAGAAGATCAAGAAGAAATAGGAAAAGGGGCGAAGCGGCTCGGCCTTACGGGAGAGGAGTTCATTCAAGAAAAGAAATAGGAAAAGGAATAGGAGTGAAAGAAGGTGAATGAGTTTATAGAGTGAAATCAGGTTCAGGTTCAGGCAAGGAAAGATAAAGAAAGGTTCAGGCAATGGACTTTACCGAGTTGGAGAGGAAAAGGGAAGAACTCGACCAATAGCGAGAGAGAGGAGTGAAGCCGAGCAGGTTCCGATTCAGTAATTCAGTGAAAGAAGGATTGAATGAATAAGATAATATAGGTTCAGTAGCAAAGGGAATAGGGGCGAAGGGAGAGGAGCGAAGCAATGAGAAACCCTAAAATAGTTAGTTCAACCCTTGTTTACAGTCGAGTAAATTAATTAGCTGCTTTAGCTGCCAGAGAGTCAGTCAAAGAGTGAAAGCAAGAAAGGATCAGAGAATAGTCTTTCCCGAGTTCAGTAGTTCAGTTCGTTCTGTCTCATGAATCTTGAGTGTTTACTGTTTCATTCATCTTTCGTCTTTCCTTCCAGTTCACGATCATTGATTCTTCTTTCGTTTCGTCTTTCCTTCCGAATGCATTACCTCGTGCTGAAGGAAAAGGTTTCGAGTTGAGTCTCATTCATCGGGAGTTTCGGCTTTGGTTACAGTTCAAGAATCAATAGGTGAAAGCAAGAAGGGAAGGGACAGGCAGTTCAACCGACAGGGGAAGGAAAAGAGTTTACAAGTAAGAGAGTCAGTCAATTCAATTAGATAGAATAGGTTCAGTAGTTCAGTCGAATTAATCAATCTTTCTTACAGGGGGGAGAGTAAGTGAAAGAAGGTTAGGGCTCCGGCTCCAGTTCAGTAGCTCAGGTAATATCTATCGGTTCAGTCTCAGTCATAACATAAGGAGTAAGGACTCTCTGGTAAGCTAATGAATTTCTTCTTGTCTTGCTTGAGTCTTGACTGACTGTTCCGTCTCACTATAAAGCCGAAAGAGGAATTAGACAGAACTCAATCACTTGTCCCTTCTTGACCTCACTCGGTAAATAGTAAATAACTAGGTCTTTATTTTCATCTTCTGCCCTGGCCTGTACTTACTTACGGTCTCTCATCTGTTCTTTCATTAAGGAAGTCAATCCTCAACATGAAAGACTCAAGGAAGAGAGTTGTAGAACTGAACCTGATTGAACAGTAAGACTGAAGATTCATTCCACTTTTGAAAGACTGAAGCAAGACAAGATTCATGGGACTGATTGAACGAGGTAAACTCAATCACTTTCAGAACCTGACGAGTCGACTCAATGAATTAGCTGCTTTGAAAAACGAAAGAAGATGTGAAAGGGTGGGTGAGACTAAACAGTGAAAGAAAGAAGGGGGAGAGTCAATTCCTTGCAGCTCCCGGCCCGCTCCTCTTCTTGTTACAATTCAATTAGAACTAGAAGGAAAAGAGAATGAATTGATTGAAGAATGAAAGAGAAAGAAGCTCCTTCCCCCCTATACGCTATTTATTCTTGAACGAGGGTGGTATAACTAGGTAAGCTGGATGAGAAGAGGGTCAAGCTCCTTTCCCTTAAGGTAAAGCTGCTTCGCTCCTTCACCTTCAAACAATACTCGATAAAGCTAGAAGAAGAACCTGCCTGCTGAACCTGACGAGAACTCAATTAGGGAGAGGAAAGAGACTGAATTACTGAACCTACCTACTTATTAATGATCCGAAAGAGTAAGTCAAGAAAGAGAGATAAGCTCCTTCCCCCCTATACGCTATTTATTCCCTGACTTGTAAGACTGAACTAAAGATGAATTATATCCTTGACTGTTCTAGAATAAATTCAGGAGTTAGCAGCTTTTCAATCCTCAACTCTCGAGAAATAGTAAGTAGTCTTTCTCCTGTTCCTATTCTTTTTCTATTGATTCTCAAATGAAAGATTCATTCTCATTCACCAATATTACCAGAAGTTATTGTGAGTTATTCGAGAGGTAAAGTAGCTAATGAATTTCCTCAACCTGATTTCACTCGGTAAAGCATATTCGTTTCCTCTCCATTCACCGATTATATTGGTTGAACAATTCCATTTCATGCACCTTAAGGTTTCACAATTCCATTTCCTTCGTTTCTTTCACTCTTTTTCCTCTTGTTTTCATCAGCTATTTTACTCAACTGTTTTTGTTCCGGTGCAGTAGCTCAGGTAATAAAGGTTCAGGTTCAGTCGCTGATCATCCATTTACCGAG